CAATCTCGGATCTTTTAGTTTTTTCAGTAATTTCATAGGAAGAAAAAAAATATAAAAGAGGTCCGGCTCAGGCTAAGGAAAAAAAAAAAAAAAGAGGCCTGATATATATATATATATATATATCAACCAGGCGCGGGCTCAGGCTTATATATATATATATATATAAGCGCCTGGCTGATACATATATATAGGCCAGGCTCACGCCTGTTTTTTTCAATAAAAAGAAAAAAAAATGCCAGGCTCTGTGAGATGGCAATAAAAAAAAAATATATATATATATATATATATATATATTACAAAAAAATTACAATAATACCACATGATGAACAGTGAATTAAGGTAAATAAACAGTAAATAAATAGTGTTTTATTGTTCATTTGCCTTGGATCTTTTAATTATATTTAGCTCAGATTTTTTAGTTATATAGAATTGGTTGTCAAAACTATAAGTCAACTCTTAACAGAGCTAAAATTGATTGCTGATACCCTTGCATCTCTAGGACCACCAATGTGCAATACAGAATTCAATGCTAACATTTAATACATTTCAGAATGTCAAGACCCTTGCTAAGTTCCTATTCCGTGCACATTGAACTTTCACTGTCATTTTTGGTTGATGATTTCACAGTTATTAAACATCTTGATTGTCATCTTACCAACACAATACAAACGATTCTTCAATTTGTTAATAGAAAAGAACCTTTCCATAGAGGCCAAGATGGCATTGATGTCGTTCTTACCAATACTTATTGTGTTAAAAAAAAAAAAAAAAAATTGTAGTGATGGCTATTGATGATATGCATTTCTTGGCTAGTATGGCGGTGCAGAAATATTATAAAGCTTACAGGTTCAGATGGAGACATGCACATGTTAACCTCTGAGTACTCGTATTGCATGCTAGATTCCTATATAGGAAATGGTCTAGGGTCTTTTTTGGTGTGGTACAGCAATATTTCTGAAACAATTTTGGGCTTGTGTTGAGCTTTATTGATCACTTTGAAAAACTAGTCTTTTGTGATGCATCAAATAGCAATTAATTAATTAACAGGCAGGGTTGTTGGATGGGGAAGTATGTATAACCACAACAACAAAAAACAGCTAACAGCTAGTTATTAGTTCTTGACCCCACAACAAATTAAGGTAGCAATAGCATATCAAGGGTTTTTCTTAGCGTAGTCTCAATCCATTTATTGCAGTTACATCGACGATCTTGTAAACCAAAAGCAAGATAATTAAAGATGGTGAAAACGAAATAATACTATTCCCAAAACAACATTCTTAAACATTTATACGAACACCTTTATTTTCAACTATCGAAATCTTTGATCCAATAAGTAATAAAATATTTCACTCAATTTATTATTCATTAAATTTAGAAATCAATGTTTCTATCGAATAATTTTGTGAAATTCCTCATCATATGTGTGATGTGAGGGTTTATATTCCTTCCCCTTCTAAAATTAAACCGTTAAATTCAATATCAATGATAATAAATTTTTTTACGAATAATATCGGGACGAGGATTGTCTATAAGTCGAACTCGAATCAAATCATATTAGATCCAAATCCAATTTATTTCATAAAACGAATCGGATCTAATCTTATAAATTCAAATAAGTTATCTGATCAGCTTTTAAAAATATGAAATTAGATTCAAATCTTAACGAGACTTAAATCGAATTTGGAGCTCTATCGGATTTATCACTTGATTTTTATAAAAAATTTATAATTAATACATTTCATATATTGTTTGAAAATAAAATATATTTCAATCACTATATGTATAATAAAATATATTAAGATAAAATTTCATTTATAGATTCCGTAAAAAGTTCAAAATGCCACATAATTCAAAATTATAAAATCAAATAATCTTAATAAAAATTCATTTTGAATTAGGTAGAAAGTATGATAAAATTAAAAAAAAAAACTAATAACTAATCTTTATTTCTTGCCCACATGGCAGCAAAAATAAAATGATGAAAAATATAATAGCACTAAGTCTTGAAAATGCATATAAGTCAATTTATAATATTTTTTTTTCACGAAATTGAATTAAGAAAATTACAAGAAATTTCTATGTGATTTTTTGAAAATACGATTGTTAATGTTGTTGAAGGATATACGTTATTTGAACTTTAAAATAAATAAAGTCTAAATTTCAGTATAGTTTCATAGTTATACATTTTTTAATATTTAAATTTTTACTATAAAAAAAAATATATTTATTATACAAATATTATTTTTAATTTCAGGTCGGATTATTATCGGATTAATGTAGATCCAGATTTGATTAATTGAATAAACAAGTTAACGTATTCGGATCATAATCGAACTTAGATAAAAACAAATTATCTACCGAGATCCATTTAATTATATCAAATTTGGGTTAAAATTTGACCCATTTACAACCTTAATAAGAAAGTCTTTGATGTAGCAAAACAAGCATAAACTATAGATTTTCTATGTCAAAATGAGAAAATTGTATTTTTGATGTTCAACCTTTGATTTCTTTTTTCTCTATTTCATTGTCTAACTAGCAATTTTTTCTATTTCAATATCCAAATTTGATTTTTTTTTATACCCACGGTCACTTGAGAGTATGAAATGTTGATGTGTTTGTGATTAATTGCCATATGGCAGTAAAGATGCTATGTGACGGGTCATTTCGGAAACGTTAGTATTTTATACTCCTAGGTATCGTAGATACTAAAAAAAAAAAATTAATCAAAGATTAGGCATTAAAAATGTAGTTTTTTTCAAAAAATTTATTGTAATTTTCTCACACCAAATGTCTCACCTTTTCACTATGGTTTATCCATTCTTTGTTATAAATATATTTCATGCATTTATTGTGCCTTTGTGATTTTTATATATATATGATCTCTCAAAACACTTTTTTTAGACATTAAAAATCATATAATTCTAAATCCCAAGAACATCAACAATTACATGCATTCACATCTTCTTGTTATTAAACTAATTACATAAGTAATGTTAACAATGCATTAACTTTTTATCTTAATTCGCATTTTACTTATCACCTCCATCGTTGTTATGAAAAGTGTTGCACCTTCAATGCTTAAACCAAAAGGCTTGACCACTGTATTTATTCATATTGATTTTATCACATTTTACTATACCATAAAAAGTTCAACAAGTTATTGGTCATAGAAAGTTTATATCACATATGATATGTCGGCCTATCTTCTCTTTAGATGGAGAAAGCGAGTTTTTGTTTTTCGTAAATTTCTCTATTGGCCAACCACTTATTTCGAAGTTGGCAATTATAATTGAACCTTATATATATATATATATATATTGAATTTAATCTTAATTGAAATTTATATATATTTGGATTAAGAGGCATAATGTTAAATTTGTTTAATCAACTAAAAGGGTTTAGAATTTTCAAAAAGTAATTTTGACTAATAAAGAGTACTAAAATTTGTCTTTGGTAAGTAGAAAAATTCATGAGCATGATATTAAAAAAATATTTATTGGTAATGCAATCAAGTGAAAATTGTTGGACTAATTTTATAATCTCGGGATGATAAATTTTTTGAGAAAACTACAAATTTCGATGCCCAATCTTTGATTTTTTTTTTTTTTTTTTTTTTGAGTAGCAACAATCACTTGAGAATATGAAATGCTAACATGTCCGAGATGACCTGCCCATGATGTTTTTTTTTCTTTTTTAACTCTTACGTGGTAGTAATCTTGTACGCGTCAACATTATACACTCTCGTGTGATTGTGAACACCAAAAAAGAAAAAATAAAGTTCAGGTATTGAAATAAAAAAATTTACTGGTTGAGTATTGAAATAGAAAAAATTCAAAAATTAAGCACCAAAAATACATTTTTCTCATATAAAAATTAAAAGATTGAAAGTCGTTGGTTCATTCCAATGAATAATAAAGTGATTAAATGGATTAAATTCACTATTAAATTTTTACCAGAGTTTGAATCCTAAACAATATTATTAAAAAAACACCCGTCAGAGTGTTGGTAATTTATTTATCAGAAATGAATTTAATATTGATATGCCTGGTAATATTTTTATTACAAAAAGAAAAACAATGATTAAATGAAGTTTTGATACGGATACATCATTGATTTTTTTTTTCAGAAATGAAAATAACAATTTTATTAATATTCAAAAAGCACAAACAAATCACTGTTCCCATTACATTCAGATAAAAAGCAAAAATTAAAGAAATTGTAACTTATTATTTGAAAAAATTCTTGACAACACCGACGTATTACAACTAGCTATTCAAGACAACTTAATGAACTTTTCATACATGGGCTTCTGTTTTGGAACTAATTGCATTGCATGTACACACAGAATTTTCAACTACTATAAATCAATCAGAAAACTGAGTGCACTGCCAGACTTCATTAATAAAAAAAAAAAAAAATTAAATTTACAGATCAAAGTCAATCTGCTCCATCTAGTTCCAAACAATCATCAATATAAATCTAATTACGATGAACAAGGACTCAAGCAGTCAACAAATGAACACATATATAAATCTAATTACGAGATCTATAGGGAAAAAAAGAAGAAGCTAAACAATTGTTTTTTGGGAGGTTAGATTGTTCTTGTTTTTGTTTCTTTAAGGTTTTTTCTTTGGAAGTGAAGAGGAGAGGAGAGGAGAGGAGAGGAGAGGGGCAGTTCTTTGTGATTTATTAGGCTATCTTGTCTATGTATTACTTTCTTACTTGCCTGAAAATTGGAATGAACAAGAAGAGAGAGTGTTATCTTTTTGAACCAAAGATACAATAATGTTATAAGTAAGAAGCTGGGCTATTATAATTATCGATGGACTTTCATCCTACATCTCCCATAACGGTGAAGTATAAGACCCAAAATTTTGAAATTGATTCTAGCCCAACATTTAAGATCCACAAGACCAGAGTCACATATCCAAGCCCGTCCTTCCAAAACTATAAATTAGCCTAAATCCCTATTTTATTTTGGCTCCAAAAAACCAACCATGAAAAGAGCTCTGTTGAAAAATTTCTCTCTGTGCACTCGAAATCTCCTTCTGTCTCCTCCCAAATTAAACCCTAACCCTAGCCGATCACTTCCTCATCTCGCTGTCTCGACTCGTTTTAGACTCAGTAGGTTCTACTCTTCTGAGTCTGACTCTTCCAGTCAATCAAAATTTCTCCAAACCCAGAAGTCAAGTGGCTCCATTGAAGATGCTGATAAGCTCAGCACTCAAGGTAGGTAAAATTTGAAAATGGGAGTCGCTTGGTTTCTGGGAGATGCTGCAGAAGACAAAAATTTTGAATTGAATTGTTTATGCATGAAAATTTCTCATTGTTTTAGTTTGCAAAAATATAAAGATTAGACCCTTTGGCTCAAATTTGTGAAATTTTGTAATAGCATGTCTTAGCATTTGCAGCTCAATTCTCACAGATGATTTAGAAAGAGAATGCCTCTGTTAATTTATGACTTTTTGAGAATAGATTGCAAGGCTATTTGATTTGGGTTTGTGTGTTTGAAATTATGTGGTTGAAAATTGAAGCGTGATATTATACTGGTTGCAGAGATAAAAAACCTGGTAGAGAAGTTCTATGGAGGCGAAGAAGAGGCACTACCATTAATTTTCGACGCTATTATGAAGAGGAAGTTGGCAGGGATACCGGATGATGAGCTGAGAAAAGAACTTTATCTAAATTCTCCTACAGATGATTTCGAGGAGGACGAGTTTGATTCTGATATTGAAGGCGAATGGATTGAGATTGATGAGGATGGTGATAATTTAGTTTGATGGCATGTGAATGCTGTGATTGCGAGAATTATGAACAGTGAAGGACTAGTTTGCCTGTTGCAGGGAATTTTGTGGTTGAAAATCTATAGTTTCTTGCTGTGCAATGCTTACAAAAGAAGAATCAAAGCATAATTATGGTTGTGAAGAGATCAGATGTTCTTCTGCTGTTATGCCGGTATTATAGGTGTTTGGTAACTAATGAAAGAGCTTAGCATCCTTCTCGTTCCCGATGTGTTATTTATTTGTTGTTTTTTTATTTTAGCCATATTAATGGAATGCAGGATTTGTTTCCTATGAAACAAATCATGGCTGCATATAAATGTGCAAAGTGTTTAAACTTGGAATACAGGAACTTCATGAATCCTGTGGCTGCAAGATTTCACATTTCAATCACATAATTCTGTGTCTAAATCTCAGTTGCGCCAATCTGGTGTCTGATCTAGTTGCTTTCTTTTGTATGTTTATTTAAGTCTCTCTTCTCAAAATGGTAGGATTATCATAGGGAGCTTTTCATGTTCAGTTGGAGTAAGCGAAGAGGTAATGAGCTTGAAACTATACAAATTCATTCTGTTTTCTGCTTCTCCCATCACAAAGTGGAGTGTTTCATCATATCAACAGCCATGAAGATTAATGTTCATTCATTAGCTTGATTATCGATTTCAGTTACCAATTTGCTAAAATCAATTCTTCTTTGCCCTTCAGCTCTCGGTTGATTCAGCAAAGAAGGCAGGGAGGTTAATAATGACGGAACAGTTCAAGTAACCTATAAAGTTGGATGAGGATTAGAAGATGGACATGTGGAAATGTAGAGAAGAACATAATAATGATGGAACAGTTCAAGGTAGAGACGCTGATTAAAGAAATATGTTGATGCGAGTATAATGCATTCACAATAGTTCTTTTTTTCTTTTCTGGATCATGTGTTATTTGAAAAAATTTACGATACGTGCAGAAGGAATGGAAATGGAAATGGAACCTAATTGATTTGGGAATCAAGGATTTTACGCTATATGTGATATTGGCACCCTAATGTTTGGGCTGGATTTGGGTTAATGCCACAGAAGCTTAATGAGCATCTGGGCTTGGACCCTTAATGGCAATATAGGCTTGTCAGTTGTTGTCCGTTATTTGTCAATTAAAGAGGTCAAGGATAAGAAGTGACAAAACAAAAGCATAGCGGAATATACAAAATAATAATAATAATAATAATAAAACAAAAATAACAGAATTTGTATTTTTCTTCTCCCCTCCTTTTTGCCTCTCTTTCTTCGGTTTTCTTCTTTTTTCTACTCAGCTCATATCCACTCGTATCAGATATTGCCGCTCACCATTATTATCATGGCTAAAAAGGCAAAACTTGATAATTTTAATAAGATGGAATAGGCATTCAAGGTGTTGACTTAAGACACTTCAACAAAGTTTGAAAAAATGGTTCAAGGATTAAGAAACCATTTAGAAAAATGAAAAGTTTATAAGCAATAAGAAGATTGCTGTATCGAGATTAAGAATCGATTATGCACATTGATGGCATCCTCATCTAACCATCAATCACCCTCAATCAGATCTATTGGTCCACTTTCTCCGTACCAAAATAGTATTCCAGACTTTACAGTTACCTTCGACTCTATATTTTTCTAACTCTATATTGCCCACACCCACAACCATAATAATTCCTTCATTTTCTTAACCTTTCACCCATGCTCCCTACTAACCCTATAACCTAAATCTTAAGTTCACCTATTGCTATAAACTTAGGAAACCCAAAAAAAAAAATAATAATAAAAGATTTTTCGGTATTTGAAGGGGAAGATATCAGCGGATGGTTATACAACTAGTTCTTTGAGACCGAACCATGGATGATTATGAAAAGGGTTAGTACACCTCTTTCTTCCTTAATGGCAAGGCACTATATTGGCATCCGGTCTACATTTAAAGCATAGGAAGAAAACTACCATAGGACGAGTACATATCTACAACGATAAGTAGATTTGGAGAAAAGTTAGATTCATTAGGCCAACCGAAAAACCTCACTCAAACATCCGACTTAGAAACATATATATATGAGTTTGATGTTATATGAAATAACGACTGCAACAAGCCCTAATCATTTTTTGAATGGGTTAAGAAAAGATGTTCAAGATCCAATCTCAATGTTTGAGTCTCAAACCCTTACTAAAGCCTATGATTTAGCTTGAAACCAGGACAATACTAATCCCTACGTCAAGAAAAACCACTAAAAAATCCTACCAACATACATAACCAAAATATCATCTACCTTTACCAAATTTAACCTAACTCGTCAAACTTTATATAACCCTATAACCACCACCACACCCATATATATATATAATCTAAAATCCGTGCACCCAACCAACATAAAAAAATCCTATCAACCTAAAATCTTAAATAGTAAAGAGTTTGATGAAAAAATAGCTAAGAATCAATATTTTTAATGTGATGAGACCAATGCACCGGGGCATAAATGTAAGTAGAAATAGCTTTTCTCATTCAACTAGTTAATGATGATGATATTGAAGAACTAGATAAAGAGAAGGAATAACATATTAATGAAGAATCATAGAGAGGTCTTTTTCCCTATATTTCTATCAATGCTTTAAAGGGTTGGAGTGGGTTTTAAAGCCTTAAGAATTATGAGTCACATGAACAACAAGACCCTACATATTCTAGTGGATTCGGTTCCACTACGGTATAAAAAAAAAAAAAAAAGGTTATAGACTATGCCTTATCAAGCCTTTAGCTGTGGAGGTTGCTAATGGGGATACCACACTTAACACAACAATATGGAAATGGTTTCGGTAGATAATGCAAGGAGTTTAGTTATGTACATATGTGTTATTGGGACCTCTATAACGGTGATATGGTTTTGGATTTCAATGCTTATCCTAACTTGGGAATATTGTCTCTAATTATTAAGAAATATGGATGAGATTTCAATTGAGTAAGGAAATTAAATTGATAGGACATTATGATTCTAAGTTGAAAACCATTTCTAGCTCATAAATGTAAAAGTTATTAGATAATTTCACTTAAGTGGCATAGATATACCTTTGTCGCATTCCCTCACTTGAGTTTGTTTCACGAATAGAGGGAAATATGATAGCAATTATTATCTATCGGTAGTAACCAATTCATCTAGCCATACAACCCTTATAGTTGAATTCTAGACTATTTTTTAGGTCTTAAAATACTACCACTAGCTAGGCCCCATGATCATATGGTACCTCTCTAAGGAAGGCTCAACTTGTAAGTAAAAGACCATATAGATACATAGGGTTATAGAAGGATATGGTGGAATAGTTAATGGATGAAATTCTTAATCTAGGGATTATTTAGCATAGTGTTAGCCCTTTTTATTCTCTAGTGGTCCTAGTTAAAAAAAAAGATGGTTCATGAAAGTTATGTATTGATTATCAAGGATTAAAAACCATCATTATCAAATATGGGTTCTCTATTTCTTTAATTACCGAGTTATTAAAAGAACTACATGAGGCTACTATCTATTAAAAAATTGAGTTGCGATCTAGATACTCGTCATATTCAAATGTTTCCACTCGATGTACCTAAAACATCCTTCAAAACCCACAATGGTCACTTATGAACTCTTAGTTATGCCTTTTTGCCTTACTAACTCTAGCCACCTTCCAAAGCCTAATGAATAATCTATTTAAGAATCACTTGCAAAAGTTTGTAGTGATATTTTTTGATGACATTTTGGTTTATAGTGGCATTATAGAAGATCACATTTTCAACTTGAAGGTAATTTTAACACCGTTACAATCTCATAAACAGTTTGCTAAATTAAGTAAATGTGTCTCCGGAAGTGTGAAAATTGAATATTTAAGGCATTATATCTCAACACAAGGTGTTTTTACCGACCTAAAGAAGATTCAGCCATTGGTAAATTAGCTTATTCCTAAGAATTTGAAGAAACTGAAGTGGATATTATAGAAGATTTATTAAGGAGTATCGATTGCTTAGTAAACCTTTGACGACCTTGTTATAGAAGGATAATATCAAGTGGACTAACCAAACAATTGAGGCTTTTAATGCCCTCAAGATAATAATGATGTATGTAGTAGTCCTAGTCCTATCGGATCTTACTAAAGAGTTTACCATAAAGATTAATGCTTCTAATACTATAAGTAGAGTTGTTCTAATGCAAAAAGGGTATCTCTTTGCTTATATTCGTAAGGAACCATTGCTTAGACACCAAACCCTTTCGAGCTTAGAAGAGAGAACTACTAGCGAGTCTTACATGCCTTTAAATAGTAGAGACATTACCTAGATTTTAGGCACTTCAAAATCAAGATTGATTACCACAGACTTGAAATACTTGCTAGAGTATAGGTTGTCTACTTTCAACCAGACTCACTAAGATAGCTAAATTTTTGGGATTTGATTATGAAATTTTATAGAAGAAAGGTAAAGAAAACGTGGCAACAAATGCTCTATTTAGAGTACCTAGTTTTGAGATTCTCTCATTGGATGTCCCTACTCTTTCTTTTGATTTACTTCAAAAGGTCAAGGATTTTGGAAAACGGACTCTAATATTCAAAAACTTCTAACGGATCCGGTAAGAAATCATGCTTATTCATCCTAATTATACATAAAAGGATAGTTTTTATACAAGAAAAAAAGGTTAGTTATGGGTAATGATAGACATCTAAAAACACATATCTTGAGTTTGTTTCATGAAACTACCCTAGGGAGTCATAACAACTAAGAAATTAAGAGGTGTCTTCTATTTCAAAGGACAACGGAAGGATGTACGACAATATATAAGAGATTACCTCATTTGTCAAGTAAACAAACCCGAACTAGCGGCTACTCCCGATCTATTGTAGCCACTCTCTATAACACATGTAGTATTCATTGACATTTCCATAGAATTTATTGATAGGATACCCAAATCTAAGGGAAGGTAGTGATTTTTATGATGGTAGATTGTCTTAGTAAATATGCCTATTTTATGAGTCTCCTTCATCCATACACAACTCAATTGGTGGCTAAACTATTCCTAGACAATGTTTTCAAACTACATAGACTCACAGACCTTAATTATTAGTGATATAAATCCTATTTTTCTCGGTAATTTCTAGAAAGAGTTGTTTTCTTTCTAAGGTGTTGACTTATGCTATTTTACAACATACCACCCTTAATCGGATGGTCAAACTAAGGCGGTTAATTAATGTTTGTTGACTTATCTATGGTGTATGGCGGGAGATACCTCCTTAAAATGGTCTAAGTTTCTTTGGCTTGAGTGGTGGTATAATACTAATTTTTACTCATCTACTAACTTCACATCATTTAAAGTACGATATGGGTTCCCACTCCCTATTCACTTTCCTTATCTTCTTTTAGGTTTTACATATATCAAGACTCCAACCAATTCAATTTTTTTTAATTAAAACCCTAAGTTTTTTTCTCATCCAATTTGAGAGTTTTACTCTTATGTTATTATTATTTTCGATCCTAATATAACATGTAAGCACACATGGTAAGCTCTAGCTAATGACGAGTTTACCACATGCTCATGATGGGGCTAAATTAAATTTTAATAAAAATAATTTTTTTTGATGAATTTTAAATAACTAAACACATAATAAACTTAAAAATAGGTTAAAAAAATACAATTCAACCTTTACCTACTAAAACTAAAAATCTTTTTCTCTCCTATTTGTTATAGGTTCCTTTTTTCTTTCCTCTTTCTTCGATCCACAATAAAAACTTACAATTCCTAA